CTGAACCATGCTCAGTCTTAGCATATTAATTTACACTGTTTTGCCTCATCTTGCCCTTTGTTGCAGTTACTACATGCTGGAGAACAGACCTAGGAACATCTATGGGATGGTTTGCTACTCATGCTTGTTGGCGCCTCCTAACACCAAGGAATGTAAGTGTTCTGCCATTTCTGTGCATTTCATCTGGTTTTGACTCGAACTCATCTGGAAGCTCAATGTGAAGTCTTTCCATTACGATTATTCTGTTCAGACAATAAGCTCAGCTCCAGTAAAACAACTTCTGCTTCCAACTAGCCTTGCCAGCAAAGGGAGGGAACGCTGATCGTTTGAGGAGAGATCAGAACCTTTGATTTTTTTAGGACCTGCTATTGTTCATTTGTGCTCCAGTTTTCATGTTAGAGCATCCCATGCAGGACTTATTAGAGTTACCTAATCAGCAGGTACAGGATGTCCCATATCTGTGTATTTTTCTAACTGAGCTTCAGTTCAACTGTGAAGGAAACATGGGACAACTGGTAGATCTAGTAAAAGTGCACTGTGTCTTTTGATACCCTTTGGTTTCAAAGTGGTACAAGGGTTAGTTAGTAGTGGCAATCCTATTAACCTCAGCTGGCAGCTCAGCCACTCACTCACTCCCCTCCATGGGGGTGGGGGAGAGAATTGGCAGGGTAAAAGTGAGACAACTCATGGGCTGAGACAAAGACAGTTCAATAGGTAAAGCAAAAGCCACACACACCAGCAATGCAGAATAAGGAATTCATTCCCAGCTTGCTATAGGCAGGCAGGTATCCAGACACCCCCAGGAAAGCTGGGACACATCCCATGGAATGGTGAGTTGGGAAGACAAACACCACCATGCTGAATCTGTCCCCCTTCCTCCTTCTTCCCCCAGCTTTATATGCTGAGTAGGACACCATGTGGTGTGGCATATCTCTCTGGTTGGTTGGCTCAGCTGTCCCAGCTGTGTCCCCTCCCAAATCCTTGTGCATCTCCAGCTGCTGGAGTGGGGTGAGAGACAGAAAAGGTGCTGTGTAAATGCTGCTCAGCAATAATGAAAGCATCCCTGAATTAGCAACAGCTTTTTGGTCACCCAAACCATAGCCCCATGTTAGCTACTACAAAGAAAATTAACTCTACCCCAGCCAAACCAGCACAGGGAGTCTTGGTGGGAGAAGAGGGTATATGGTAAGAGGATGCAGATCCCAGAACCATAGAACCATAGAACCATCAAGGTTGGAGGAGACCTCTAAGATCATCGAGTCCAACCAGTAACCTGTCACTGCTGGAACCCCTAAACCCTAAACCAGATCCTCCAGGGTCAGATCCAGACACCTCTTCAACACTTCCAGGGATGGTGACTCCACCACCTCCCTGGGCAATATCCCAGTGCCTGACTGGAGATGCATGTGGCTCCCCCATAGGTGGGAATAGAACCATGCCTGCTGCCGGCTCACAGCCAGAAATTAATCCCTTCCTCAGCTCTGATGGTCTGTCTCAAACACATGCTCAAATGGGATTTTAGTAGTATCAGACGTTGTAACTTACTGATTTGGCAAGTTACTTCCAGAAGATCTTATGGCTATTACTCATTTTAAAAATATATTTGTCTTTTATAGGTTATCTGGGAAATGCTGTATATAATGTGCTTCTGTAAGGAAAGTCTGAATGGCACAACTGAATAACCACATGAAATTTTTAGCTTGACAAACACAAGAATAAATGTATATTATCTTTGGGAGCAATTTAGGCAGGTACATAAACTGACAAATTGGGTACTAAGGTAGAAGAAAACATTAGTCCTAAAAAGACTAAACATTTCCATTTTAATCAAGTCCTTGAAACCAACCATTTGATTACAAGTATTCAAAATGCAGGAAAGCATCTTAAAACCCAAATCCCTCAAATCACTGAGCTCAGGTAATTTGGTTTATAATGTCTAAACCTCTGGACCCCATTTGGAATAGCAGCTCCCCAATCCATAGGCATTAATTTGTACTCCAGATGGAAAATCAGCCTTGCTGCAAGAACCTCTCGAAAGCCTCAGAGTTCTGTGGCAGGCAGTGTAAAATCTGGTATTAGCAGATGATTTTTTTCACACATTTCACTGTCATCAGATTATACCAGTCAGAGCAGAAAAGAAGTGACATGTCAGTGTTGCACAACTGTGGAATTTCTTGAGATCTGCAAATTCTAAACTCATCTAAGCACTGAGCTCTGAGCACATAACCTTACCATGAGCATGGGGGTTTTGTCATGTGAAGGATAACACCAGATTTTTTGTAAGGAAGCACTCCTCTGTGCAGAGGAACCTCTGGTTATTGACTGGCTGTTGTGGTGGAGGACCCAGAATGAAAAATCCAAATGGCTCCAGGAACCTTCTGTTCCTTTCTTGAGACTCTAAAATAGCATTGAAGAGCATTCAGGAGCCACACTAAAGGGTTGCCTCTCTCCCAGAGCTCCTATCCTTCCAACACTCCTGAGTACAGCACATCACTGAAGGAAGGTGACCCAACAGGTCACAAGGAAACAAGAATGGCAAATTACTTAAAAACAGGAAGCTCAGGATGACAAGCTCTGGTTTTGCACTGCTAAACAGAAAAATGAGGGCAAACAAATCCTGTTTCAGGCCTTCATTAGGGCTGAGGGAGGGTTGGAGAATAGTGGGGCTCTCCTTAGCTGGAAACATTCCCTGCTGGGATGCTGCCTGGTCTGTGTGCCAGGAGGAGAGCCAAGGCCTGGGGGGATGGGGGGGTTATGCCTGCATGGAAACTTGCTCAGAGAATTTGCCTGATGATCCATTTGATCTGGCAGAAAAGTATTAGGGTTTGATCAAAGGGTAAACAAATATCTTTCCCCTCCGAGATTGTGCTGTGCAACTTTCATCTCATATACAGTCAATAAAACTTGCAATGGCCAAGGAAACAAGATGAACACCCCATGCCCCAGCATCTGGAAATGTTAGTGTCAAAAGGACTGGAAGTGAGAAAGAAATTCCTTGATGGACCTGGGTCAAATTGTGGGTTTTTTTTCCCCCTCAAGGGACTCAAGACATAAATAGCATGGAAAGAAGTTGGAACACCTATGTAAGATTTCTGGTCCCTCAGCATGCAGCTCCCTCGAGTCTCCTGGGTAGAAGCCTCAGTGCTAAGCAAAGAGGGGCACAGTGTCAAAGGTGTGAGACCTTCAGCTGCACAAGAACCAGGTCATGAGCCACCAATACCTCTTGCTGACACTGAATTGGGGTAGGACATCTCTGTGAAAGACAACAGCACTGCAAAAAGCAGGAGAGGCAGATTTGCTATGCAAATCAAAGAACGGAGGTAATGAGCACCAAACCACTCTAAGATGTGGATTCCCACAGTTAATGGTGCTGGATTTTCTGTCAACACCTCTAGAACTGGAGTCACTTCAGGCCCCTGACTGTGTAGAGTGTTTTTGTTGTTTTTCTTTTACCCAAAGTATATGTAAAAGGCAGAAGATTTTGCCATATGTGGCGTTTCTCTGGCAGAGAGACACAGTTACTGCTGGAAGATATTTTGTCTCCTAACAGCTGCAACTCTCCATTTTATGTATATTAACTCCCCCTTTCTCTTCAAGCTTTGGTATTTGCCACTCCAGTTCAAAAATGCTGGAGAAAACCAAAATCAAAAGGAAACCTTGCTACAAAAACTCTAAGAGCATTTATTTGAAGGTGTATTTACACAGTTACATCAAACATGCAAATCCTTTTCCACTCACAGATTATTGATCTGGAGAACTTCAGCAACTGATTGAGGGTTTTCTTTGTAATCCATCATGTGTCTTCATAAGTGTGCATGGGCACACAATACTTTGTGCTATTTTCTGTCACCTTTATGTAGATGGTGTATATATGAAGACAGATACAATAACTAACCTGTGTAAGTTTTTAAGTCTCACACCTACCAATGATGGCTTAGGGGAAAAAAGCATAAAGAAAAACAACAAAGGAAAACATAAATGGCCAAGTTATTTTTTAATTCATAGAATCATAGAATTTTAGGGGTTGGAATGGACCCTACAATTCATCTAGTCCCAACCCCCTGCCCTGGGCAGGGACACCTCCCACCACGCCAGGTTGCTCAAGGTTTCATTCCACCTGGCTTTGGTCAATTACCAGAGAGCAAATGACACCTAGAAACAGAAAAGTATCATTAGAACTTCAAAAGCAGCTAAAGAGATGAGCCAGAACAACTGACCAGCAATTGGTGGCTTTATGTGATGAGCAGGAATCAGGAGGTCACATCCATACCCAAGCACTGAACTCCTGAACTGAAGTGCATCTCACGAACAAGCCTAATGCCAAAACCACTTGTATTAGGGCAAATAATCCTTTCAGAAGTTTTTATTTTAACTCTCCATTCTTTGTTATATCACTAATTTCCTTTCCTTGCCAGCTTTGCCCTTTTGTATCCAACCTCAGGACTTTTTTCCTTCTGTTTCAAATTACGTATCCAAATGAATTGGCTTGTTAGCTACAGCTAACAAACTTCTCTTTCTTGATTTCTTTCTTTTTTGAATTGTTTGATCTCTGAACACCCTTTCGTTTTCACATGTGGAATGGGAGAAATGTCAGAGGGTGTGCTTTGTTATTCACTGCTGGTATGGCCTGATCCTCCTCCCCTTTAGGACTTGTCCTTATTAGGAAAGGAACCTAACCTTAGGAGAAAATGGGCCAAGCTCAGCTATCAACCTTCAAGGGGAAGCATCTGAGAAGAAAATATGGGGTTTGCTGTCTTCAGCTGCTGGGAAAGCTGAGCCCAGGTATTCCTCAGGAGGACATCTGTTAGGGTGGTCTTTCAAGGTGGGAAGTGATGCAGGAGCAGGCAGCACAGGAATATCATGGAGGAATATCAAGGAGGAAGGTCATCCATTCTTCATTCAGCATCATCATCATGCTTCACCCAGTCCTAGCCCACATCAGGACATGGGGTGTTCCTATGCTATGCACACACATGCACATATACACACACACAGAACCCTCTCCTGTGCACATGAGTCAGCACCTTCGATTCCAGAGCTGAATTTTTTTTGCATAGGGATGGGAGCACCTTGTTTGGTTAGCCTTGAGAAGAGGCTCAGGGTGACCTCGTGGCTCTCTGCAACTCCCTGCCAGGGTTGGAGAGAGGTGGGG